AGGATTGTGAACCATTAATAACTACTCTATGAGTATGGTTATCCAGCCAGTTATGCACCCACCTTATAGTAGCTCCATCTAAGTTGTATTTACCTAGTTTATTGATAAGAATATCATGCGAGACCGTATCAAATGCCTTATTAAAGTCTAGGTATACCACCTCTACCACTTCTCCCTTATCCACAAGACTCGTTATGTTCTTTACAAATCCATGCTAGCTGTTCCCTATCACCTTGCCACCTTCCAAGTGTTTACAGATGATTTCCTTAATTACTTGCTCCATTATCTTCCCTGGCACAGAAGTTAAACTGACTGGTCTGTAGTTTCCTGGGTTGTTCTTATTTTCCTTTTTATAGATGGGCACTAGATTTGCCCTTTTCCAGTCTTCTGGAATCTCTTCTGTCTCCCATGATTTTCCAAAGATGATAGCTAGGGGCGCAGATACTTTCTCTATCAGTTCCTTGAGTATTCTAGGATGCATTTCATCGGGCCCTGGTGACTTGCAGGCATCTAACTTTTCTAGGTGATTTTTAACTTGTTCTTTTTTAATTTTATCTTCTTTCTTTGAAATGTTTGTCTTTTTATTGTTATGTGTCTTCCCCCAAATTGCTCAGCTGGTGTGTTTCTCTTTGTAATTAGCCTCCCACTGGGCTTTTCTTTCAGATGGTTTTGAAAAAGCTGTAATTACAGCCTATGGCATTACATTGATTAAGTCATAGAAATATATTCTGTTGTAAGATCAACTTGGTTCAGCCTCACTTAGAACCTCCCCCAAAAGCACTGAAGCCAATGGAGTCTTCTAATTGATTACAGTGGAATTTGGATCAGACCCCCCCATTCCTTCAAATATTTATTTAAATGTACACGAATACTATAAAAGCGCACCTATCCAAACATGCTGTATACCCTTGATGTAACTGAAAAAAAGGGACAAATAATACATAAAATACAACAAAATAATTCAATATCTCGTTACCAGTAAGCAAGACTGGACCCATTGTGTTAAAGGCACATGAGGCTTTTCCATGAGAGCATTTCATGTTTCCCTTTGAAGTCTATAGACTAGTGTAAGTGTCACTAGTGTAAGTGTCACTGCTTGGGTTTAGGGCTGGTACGGGAGCTGCAGGGCAATAGGGGCGGGAGGGAGATGAGCCGCGGATAGTGCTGAGAGACGGGGGAAGGGGTTTGAGAGCAGACAGGATGGAGCAGAAAGGACGGAGATTTGAGGGGACATGGGAAGGGGCAGCAGTGCGGAGGCTTAAATGAAGCCGCGATTATTTTAATCGCGGCTTCATTTCCCTTTTCCGATCTGGCTAATCTACATGCCTCCGTCGAAGGAGGCATGTAGTCTAGACACACCCTAACAGAAGACATAACAGCGCTGTCTTTCAAATGGCCGTCATTAGGTTCCAGAGTCAACAACATGTCACTCTGAAACGGTGGGTTCAAGTGTTAACTCCAAGTCTATCTGGGTCAGACGTTCTCAGAGTTAACACCCAGATGGGCAGACTGCTTCTCTGTTGTTCCCCGGGGCATTATGCAGACTCAGGCAGACAGACAGGATACAGGGGACCATTATCCTTGGCTCTCCA